TTTATTTTTATTTTTTTTTAGAAATTATTATAATTTGTATGATTTGTGAATTATATGTTTGTAAATAACAACAATATGAATTATATTTATTACACTACTAGATATGTTATTTTATTAGTAATAAAATTAAAATAATAATGTATAAAAATATTATTATCAAGAGAGATAAAATACTATTTACATAATTTTTTCTCTTAATATTAAAAATATTAATTAAACTTTTATTTAATTTTATTAATATATTAATAAATTAAAAATCATGGGTATATAAAATTGTTAGAAAAATAGTCAATCATATTTTTACCATTTGTTTGAACCATAAAATTTTAACGTATAATATTTTACGAACATAAAAAAATTATATTTATTTTATTTTTTAATGATAACAGATAATATTTAACTAATAAATTTTAAAATAAATTTTTAAACTAGCAAATCAGTAATTTTTTTGGTCATTCTATTTATTTTTTATTATACTCACGTCTAATTTAATTAATTTTATATATGTCTTAATAATTAAAAATTAATTAAATTAATGTAATAATATAAATAATTATTATTTATTTTATTAAATATAAAATTTTAATTTAATTATATATAATAATTATTTATTTAAATATAAATATAATTATATTAATGAATAATTTTTTTTCTTTTTTATAAAAATTGACTATTACATATAATATATAAACAGTAAATTCGTAATTTAACTAAAAATATAACTATTTCATTTTATTATCCAAACAAAAATATATCATTGACATACATTAATATACCATCATTCAAACGTTAAAAAGTTTCGCTATTACAATTCTATATTATTGTCATTCAATTACTGTCAGTACTATACATTAATTAATCATCACTAAAATTTATCCAAACAAAACCTTAGTAAATACCATTATACATGCGGCGTTTATGCAAAGAATACAAAATTATCTTCATCCACAGAAGTTGGGCTGAATAAATGAACAAATGGGTAACCAACAAAAATGTTTCCAAGTACAATAACTTCAACGTATACTCTACATATATAAGAAGCTGCCAAAGAGAATTTTAACTAGCATCCTGATACACTATTTGTAAAGATTACAACAAAAATAAAGGTATAAGATACCAGATATCAGTTGGGTAGAGTCAGCATAAACAAAAACCAAAATAAACAACAAATTGCAGCAGCATCCCCCGCCAGTCAATCCTATTAGGGTCTACCCCCCAAACAGCCCCCTGTCAATGTTTTCTTCTTTCGATTTTTCCTTATTCGGCTCATTTTCGTGAACCTCATTAATTGATCCTACTACATTACCTGGAGTAAACACAGGTCCCAACCTTAAAACTTACAGAGAGTATTAGAACCCAGAAAAACATTAAGAATAACAGGCCCCTTGATCCGATGGATCCTGGCTTGTCAGACAGAACATTAGCCATTGGCACCAACCCAGCATTTTCTTGAGACAGGCCGAGAGAAAAAACGATGTTGATATCCCCATTCTTGTTAAATGACCAAGCCATCTGATTGCCGGCTAGAGTCATATTTGTTATTCTGATCATACCGGCAGTAACATGAACAGAACCAG